GAGAACAATAGTGCTTCAGCCAGTAGTACAGCAGCTCAAGTTAACTGGTACGCCTGAATTGCTTCCCCTGCTGACAATTCAACAGTGTTACACTGAACTTGAAGGGTCATCAATATCTTTCGAGGTGTTCTCAGTATCTAAGCCCATGGTGAAGTTCGCTATATGCAACGCATTCACTGCAACCGGCTTGTGTCTGGCAGAGCACAACTACCCAGTTACTGCACTCCAGAATGCCTATCGACACCTGAAGGATCTGCCACTGCCTCCTATGGACAGGGTGAAGCCACTGCTCCTTATCGGATCTGATAATCCCCACCTCCTGACACCAATCCAGCCCATATGCAAAGGCCCAGTAGGGGGACCCATTGATGTCTGCCCACAACTTGGATGGTGTCTCCAGGGCCCGATGATTCCTATGCAGCCCTCAAGAGGTAAGCAGCAGTGTCTTCACATCATGACAGTTCCAGCCTGTGATGACCTTATCCACCATGTAGAAAGACTCTGGCAAGTTGACACCCTCCCATACAATGAGAAAATGGTCACCAGGTCCAAGCAAGACAAAGAAGCTTACACCATGCTTCAGAATGCCACCATCAGAGTGAATGTGGATGGTGTTCAATTTTACGCTACACCCCTGCTGAGACTGACACCTGTGAGTTTGCTCCACACATAAAGGGATGATGTTCTTTCTAGTTTACGCAGCACTGAGCGTAGGCTGGCACGGGATCCAGAAAGGGCTAAAGCATACTGCACTGAGACCCAGAAGTTAAAGGTAGCTGGTTATGTCGCCAAGATAACTCCAGAGGAAGCCGACAAGAGTGCAGAGTCTTGGTTCATTCTGCATCACGTAGTACATCATAACGGTAAAGACAGGATAGTCTTTAACTGTTCCTTCCAACATCAAGGACAGTCTTTGAATAGTCAACTGCTGCCTGGACCAACTTTGGGACCATCCTTACTGGGTGTCCTCCTGAGATTCCGCCAGCACGCTGTTGCTATCAGCGGGGACATAAAAGGCATGTTCCACCAGGTACGCCTGCTGCCCAAAGACAAGCCAGTGCTGCGGTTCCTGTGGAGGGACATGTGCAGGTACAAAGAGCCTGATATACTGTATATGAATGACAGGCGCTTCCGTTCGGGACCACATGTAGTCCATGTTGCGCCATCTTTGCCCTCCAACAAGCCAGTGCTGCGGTTCCTGTGGAGGGACATGTGCAGGTACAAAGAGCCTGATATACTGTATATGAATGACAGGTGCCACGTCCAAGGACACAAATGTGACATGCCTGAATTAGTCAACATAGTGGAGAATTCCTTCTATGTCGATAACTGTCTTCACAGCACACCAACCGCAGATGACGCTTAGGATGTGGTGGATGGACTGCTCAGTTGCTGGCTAAGGGATGCTTCGACATATAACAATGGGCATGTAATGTACCATCTGTGATCCGGCATCTTCCTGCAGAGGCCCTGTCCACCAACAGTGAACGATGGTTGACCAAAGCTAGTATGGACCTGCAAGAACCCACTCTTGGCCTGCAGTGGAATTGCCTCCATGACACCCTGGGTTACAATTTACATTCTACAGAGTCACTGGAGCCTACTATGAGGAACATGTACAAGACCTTGGCCAGCCAGTATGATCCTTTGGGATTTATTATCCCATTCACTACACGGGCTAAAATTCTCATTCAAGACCTCTGGAAGCGGAACCTGGGCTGGGACGATCCGATTGAGCCTGCACTTCTGCAAGATAAGTGGTTAACCTGCGTAAGAGAAATACCAAATCTATTTCAGTTGCAGTTTCCTCGACTCTACACGCCAGACTGGGCTGACAATCCTTCTGCCACCCGAGAGCTTCACATCTTTTGTGACGCATCGGAAAGAGTGTATGGTTTGGTGGACTATTTACGTACTTCCGATGATCAAGGACATGTCTATAGGTTGCCTTTGTCTTGGCCAGTGGCTCCAAGAAAATGCCTGTCCATGCCTCGTTTGGAGCTGAGTGCAGCTCTAACCGGCGCACAGTTAGACAAAGTGATACAGACTGAGTTGACTCTTCCTATTGATTCAGTCACCCTCTGGTCTGACTCAACAACTGTGCTCTACTGGTTGACTGCTGAGTCTTGCCGCTACAAGGTATTTGTTGGAACACGTGTAGCAGAAATACAGACTTTCACCGATTTGGCTGAATGGAGGTATGTTGAATCGGCTCACAACCCTGCTGACCACACCACAAGAGGTCTGATATTAACAGAGCTAGTAGGCCCTCACCTGTGGAGTTCAGGACCAGCTTTCCTCCTTAAACCAGCTGACCAATAGCCATCCACATGCAAGTTTGAGGTAGAGCCCGAAATCAGTGAATGAAGGAAAGCTGCCTTCATTAGTACTATTGCAGTGCTCAGGTCTTCACTCCCAGACCCAAGTCAGTTACCCACATGGCAAGAACTTGTCCAGGCCACTGTTAGGGCCCTCAACAGGGCGGCTGCTGCCGACAGTGACTCCTCTGGTAATGCAGCTGATTATATTGAAGCTGAGAAACTCCTTCTGGTGCAGGCTCAAAGCGACTCATTCCCATTCAAAGTCAAGGCTTTAAAGACAGGACAATCTATTCCTACTGACAGTTGTTTGAACTCTCTTGCCCCTGAGTATGATGAAGCCACAGGCCTCATCAGGATGGGTGGACGATTACGTCGGACGGACAACTTAGACTTAGAGGCTATCCATCCAATAGTGTTAGATCCTGGGCCACCCTGTCACCGACAGTGACTCCTCTGGTAATGCAGCTGATTATATTGAAGCTGAGAAACTCCTTCTGGTGCAGGCTCAAAGCGACTCATTCCCATTCAAAGTCAAGGCTTTAAAGACAGGACAATCTATTCCTACTGACAGTTGTTTGAACTCTCTTGCCCCTGAGTATGATGAAGCCACAGGCCTCATCAGGGTGGGTGGACGATTACGTCGGACGGACGACTTAGACTTGGAGGCTATCCATCCAATAGTGTTAGATCCTGGGCCACCCTGTCACCAATCTGCTAATTAAGGAGACAGATCAACGACTCCTTCACCCTGGCTCAGAAAGGGTCCTAGCTTAACTTCGCCGCCAGTATTGGGTACTAAGAGGTAGAGAAGCAATTCGGAAACACCAGCACACTTGTAAAGACTGTCAGTTCTGGCATGCCAAACCTCAAACCCCATAAATGACTGATCTTCCATCCAGTAGACTGCAACTTTACAAACCACTGTTCTACTCTACAGGGGTAGATTGCTTCGGCCCCTTTGCAGTTAAAGTCGGTCGTTGCCAAGAGAAGAGGTGGGGAATCCTCTATAAATGTATGATAACCCGGTGCGTGCGTCTAGATCTGTTGGAGCATCTAGACACTGATGCATTTCTGCTTTCTCTGCGTCGCTTCATCGCTCGACGAGGCAAGCCCATGGAACTGCTTTGTGATAATGGCACTAATTTAGTTGGAGGGGATCGAGAATTACGAGAGACTTTCAATGCCATGGCACCAAGGCTTCAGGGGCTGCTTGCAGAGCAAAAGATTAAATTTCGCTTTAACCCACCAAGTGCTCCTCATTTCAGGGGAACCTGGGAGCATGAGGTGAAATTTTTAAAGTCAGCCCTACGTGTCATCCTGCGAGAGCAGTCAGTGCCAGAGCCAGTATTGCAAACCCTGTTAGTGGAGGTTGAAGGCATTCTGAATTCCAAGCCACTCGGCTACATACGATGTCGTAGACTTGGACCCAGTGACTCCCAACCTACTCCTCATGGGTCTACGTGATGCCTCCCTACCTCAGGTTCTATATGACTCTAACAACTTGCTTGGAAGATGCAGATGGAGATATAGCCAAGTGTTGGCTGATAATTTCTGGACTGCCTTCATTCGTCATTATCTCACAAGTCTACAGGATCGTCCTAAGTGGAGGAAGGATGGCAAGGAACTTACCGTGGGCCAAGTAGGAGGGACTGGGACTGGCAATGACCGGTATCTAAGGGAGTGAAAGTGACAAGAAAAGCAAAGACGGAGAGAAACACACAGCACTGCACATACACACAACATCTGGCCAGAGGAGAATGGTGGAGTTTTCCTTCGACACACTATTTTCCTGTTTAATACTGTAAAGCTGCTTTGACACAATATTGTATTGAAAAAAGTGCTATATAACTAAAGTTGACTTGACTTGACTTGACTACCCCACCTCTGCAAATAGCTATTCATATGAAGAGTTCATTTGCAAAAACAGATAACTGTTTTTTCATTGTGCATTCCAATTAATCTCAATCAAACTGCAGTTGTGTTATTTTGATTAAGTAAAAAATAAATAAAATACAGCTAACTAACACAAAACACAATAAAAACATGATAACAGTAAAAAAACATGATTTTGAACAAATAGCTATTCATATGAAGAGTTCATTTGCAAAAACAGATAACTGTTTTTTCATTGTGCATTCCAATTAATCTCAATCAAACTGCAGTTGTGTTATTTTGATTAAGTAAAAAATAAATAAAAAATACAGCTAACTAACACAAAACACAATAAAAACATGATAACAGTAAAAAAACATGATTTTGAAAATAAAAAAAAAACGGAGTTATCTGTTTTTGCAAATAAACTCTTCATATACAGTGTGAACTAGTGAAACAGCATTAATTACAACATTGCATTGCCCTTTAGAAAACAGATCCATAAGTGTGATAATGAAGAAACTGTAAATCTGGACACAGTTTTCAGTCCTACAAAAAAGTCTAATAATTAGGATGCAGTTTTTACTGCAGTTTTTTAGGCTGTGGTCCTGCTTCTTTGTAACTTATAATCTTGGATTGTTTGTCTGAGACTGACATTTAGTAAACATTAAATTATCAGTGTTCTATATTCTAGTCCAGGAGTCACTTTCCCACAGAGTTTAGTTTGATCTTTAATGAAAGACACCTGAATCAACAAGCCAAGGTCTTTGTATTTACTTTAATAACAGCTAGGTGTGTCGAGTAGGAATGAGGAACCTGCTTTACATACTCGCAGACAAACCTGTTTTACACACGTCTCTCAAACACAGAAGCAGGAAACAGGAATCACCCGAGTTCAGAGAAAAAGAAACTGAAGTGCAGTTGAGCTGTTGTGTGTTTGTGTCTCTGTATTCATGCAGTAAAATGGCAGAAGCCAGAATTTCTCAGGCTGAGTTCACGTGTCCAGCTTGTCAGGATCTCCTGCAGGATCCAGTGGCCATTCCCTGTGGACACAGTTTCTGTAAGAGCTGTATTACAGGCTGCTGGGATCAGGAGGATGAGAAGAGAGTCTACAGCTGCCCTCAGTGCAGACAGACCTTCAGTCAAAGACCTGCTTTAGCTAAAATCACCGTGCTGGCTGAAGTGGTGGAGAAACTGAAGAAGTCTAAACTTACTGCTGACTGTTTCGCTGGAGCTGGAGATGTGCAGTGTGACGTCTGTACTGGAAGAAAATACAAAGCCGTCAAGTCCTGTCTGGTGTGTCTGAACTCTTACTGTCAAACTCACCTTGAACAACATGAGAGTTTCTTTAGAGGAAAGAAACACAAAGTGACTGTTGCCACTGGACGACTGCAAAAGACCTGCTTTAGCTAAAATCACCGTGCTGGCTGAAGTGGTGGAGAAACTGAAGAAGTCTAAACTTACTGCTGACTGTTTCGCTGGAGCTGGAGATGTGCAGTGTGACGTCTGTACTGGAAGAAAATACAAAGCCGTCAAGTCCTGTCTGGTGTGTCTGAACTCTTACTGTCAAACTCACCTTGAACAACATGAGAGTTTCTTTAGAGGAAAGAAACACAAAGTGACTGATGCCACTGGACGACTGCAGGAGATGATCTGCCAGAAACATGAGAAGCTTCTTGAGGTTTTCTGTCGCACTGACCAGAAATGTATATGTGTGCTGTGTGCGATGGATGAACATAAAAACCACGGCACTGTATCAGCTGCGGCACAGATGACAGAGACACAGGTATTTAGAACTAGACACTGATGAAATATTGTTAAGACTTTGGCTTGTTTATATTGGCACCCTTATTAACAGTTTACAGCATTCACACTGCACATGTCAGCAAAAATAAGAGGAGCAAGAAGAGTTTCACTGCCAAGTCTGAAAATGCATTGTAAACCTTTGTCAATATAATCTTTCATAAAATTGGCCTTGATTAAGCAACATAAAATAATGGAGTGAAATATTCAACCATTGTTTGACAACATATTTACTTCTATCAGTGATGGATGACTTTCCATATCTGACTGAATCCAGATTTCATCTATTTATAGATTCAATTCAGTTTATTTTCTGGGTCCCTCTTTATATAAAGTGGCCTTAACTACTATGTACTTAAGTCAAAAAATAAGTACAATGTACTTATTGTGTTCGTATTGCATTGCAAAACACTTCTGCTGCTATTGAGGTGGGATACGGGTAAAGTTTTGGTGGTATGGGTAGGTTTGAGGTTAGGTTAAGGTGTAAGGGATGGGTGAACAGTGTAACTATAAATGTTATTACAGAAACTAATTACAGATGTAATTACATGCCAGTATTTTTTAAATATAAGTACAATGTAAAAAACATGTATGTACGCAGTTAGTGCATTGTATCAAATTATTAATTTGAATGTAAGTACATAGTAGTTAAGGCCACCTAATATAAAGTGTGACCTTTCTGTGTAGAGCTGCAGGTCTGTTAAACAGCAGGAACACTGTCAGTGTGAAGTTCTATGTCTGTGTCAGTTTCACTTTTATAATACTTATGCTTGCAGTGTGAAACAGTCCTTATGCTCCATGTTAATTCATGTATGATGATTGTAACCGATCATCCCTACTGGAGTTTGAACCTACAGCCACTGGTTATCAGTTCAGATAAACTGCCTCACCCTACTTCAATTGTTCATAGCTTTCTGTGACATTTACGATCATCCGTTTCTCCAGCACCAGCTGAAGGAGATGCAGAAGACGCTCCAGCAGAGAATCCAGCAGAGAGAGAAAGATCTTCAGCAGCTGAGAGAGGCTGTGGAGTCTCATAAGGTGAGTCTGGAGAAGAAGAGAAGTTTGTCTCCGTCTCAGTTCAGACTCACTGAAGCCTGAATCACTGTGTGTCCTAACAGCGCTCTGCACAGACAGCAGTGGAGGACAGTGAGAGGATCTTTACTGAGCTCATCCGCTCCATTGAGAGAAGCCGCTCTGAGCTGATACGGCTGATCAGAGATCAGGAAAAGACTGCAGTGAGTCGAGCTGAAGGACGACTGGAGCGACTGGTGCAGGAGATCAATGATCTGAGGAGGAGAGACGCTGAGCTGGAGCAGCTTTCACACACACAGGATCACATCCAGTTCCTGCAGGTAACAGAGATCTAGAAGAACAGGATCATAGTGGACTTGAG